GAATGAGTAAAGGTGTCCTCCCTGTGGAGCAGTGGCTTGATGGCTGACCTCTCATCGCAGATGGTCTTGTGATGCAGGACAGCTAAATTATCCCCCAACCAAGTCAGGAAACTGATGACGGGAAGAAAGGGGGATTCGTGCACACACACAAAGAAACCCTGTTACTAGACAGAGCAGAACTCCCCACCAGACACGACCAGCCGCCGGAAGTACTTTGAAGACCCCGTTTGGCTCCACCCCCTGACAGCAGGACCTATGCATGGGGCAGATCAGTTGTGGAGAGAGCCCAGCAGCAAATTCAGCCCCCGGACACCCTGCTGTTGGGGTCGCGCCCAGGCACAGCCTGGGGCCTCAGCTCCTCCAGGGACTCCCGAGGACCTCCCACCTGAGATCCCTGCTGCCAAACAGAGATGCTCTGTGAGCTGGTCCTGGCTCCTGAGCCCTGACGGGCAGCTGGACAGATTTGTCAAATGTCTTCTGATCGTCACCCTGGAAATAGGTAATGGAAGCCTCCTAAGGGGAAGGTTTTCTCTCTGGGTCTTTCTTCAAGCTGATTCGTGGGGAGATGTGTTTGCTTCATGCAGGAATCCCCAGGGGAATGCACACCTGCACAGAGCTCCCAGGATGAACACACAGCAGGCTCAGACCACCCACCCTCAACAACCGCCCAGATGGGAAGCGTGCTGTGGCTTCTGCAGGATCGGGGGGAGGTCGGTTAGCCTCTGAGAGCCGTGGGCTCTCAGGAGAGAGCATACAGGCTGCTGAAGGAGTCCATACTGCCACTGAATTCCAGCAGGGACAGGGGACAGACACCAAGAAACCTGGCAGTTCAAGGTATTTGCCGAAGATCTCGGGAACCTGGACCAAACCCAGCAGGCAGAGCAGCAGTGCTTCCGCAGGTGGTCAGAGGTGAATACCCACTGTTGGACGGTCCCCGACAGAAGTTTCCGGAACCATATTTAAACAAGAAAAACAACACAGGAGCCACCAGTCTAGACCAGTCTTCCTAGCAAGGCTCAAACTCCTCATTTCCAACCGTAAGGAGGCCATTGCCAACTAAAGGGCCCATCGTTCCCAGAGAGCTGCTGTCCTGCTTGGCTTCACTGAGCTACTTTTCATCTTGAGCATAATTGGTCATTTCTGGTCATTCACAGGGAGTGAGGACGCTTTCGATGACCTGTCACAAAGATCGGGGCTTGACAGAAATGCACCCGAGGAGAAAATGAGACCAAATCTCACCTTGATGGGTCAACAAATTTGTAAATGGATCTGTGAGGTGCATAGGCACCTGGGTAGGAGGTGGCCAGGAAATAGAGCTTTCCTGAGAAAAGAGGACAGGCAGGCAGTCACGGGACACGAGGCAGGGCCGAGACACAGAGCTGTGGACACCGAGGACGCTCAGTGTGGCTTGTGGCCCCAGCAGGGAGTGAGCCCCGGGGAGGGAACCCAGACTCCAGACTGACAGCCCCCAAAGACGAACCCAGAGGCGGCCCAGCAGAGGGAAGTCTTGCTCACGTTCATGGAGCCAAACCAGCTACCGCCTTCATCATCTCTTTGCTCCCAGAACTCTCCCTCATGCACCCCCATGTCCTTCCCCACCTCTCCCCTATCGATAAGGATGCTCTGTGACACCCTGAGGCATTCTCTAGGCTGAGAACCACTGACTGGTCACTTTACATGGCCCCTTCTTTGGGCCGTTACTTCCCCCAGCCCCTGCCTCCCTCTCCCCAATTTCCACCTTCCTCAGTCCTGGGTTCCTAACTCCCTGTGTTCAGCATCTCCTCCTGGTCTTTTCCACACTCTCAGAAGTCACCTCCACCCACTGTCTCCTTGTCTCCTTCAGAAAGGGCCCCGACACCTCCTGTGTCTTCCTGTGGGAACTCCTGAATGCAGAGCGCCTTTCTCAGGAGGAACACCTTCCTCCCCCTCGTTTTGCAGTTCCCTTCGAGGGACGGGGCTGTAGAGACTCTGTGAACACAGCTTTGGAGTTAGAAAGAGCAGGGTGTGACTTCCGATCACTCCGGTCACAGCCGTGTGTTGTCCTGGGCCACCTCTCCACCTCTGTCACCCTCGCCTTATTTATTCATTTCCCCAGTGGGGATAATAACACCTCCCGATTGCCGGGTAGCACATTAGAAAGTGTTCAGTGATCGGCAGTTACTCTCACTCCCTCACCCTCCTGCTCTGTCACTGGGTCGGTGCTGTGACGAACACCTTCATGGACCTGGCACAACATCTGTGTCATTGCACGAATTCAATACATTGCTGTGTGTGTTATACACTCACTCTCAACTTTACAGTAGGAAATGTCTATTCAATCACAAACTGGAAGAGCCCAGAGCTTCAGCTCTGGTGATTAAGAAACCTTCTCCCTTGAATTCATGGCCAGCAGGGGCCCCTGTTAGAAGGCCTTGTGTGGAGTGGGAGATGCATGGGCTCTGCTGGGCCCCACAGAGTGACGGCTGCCCGGCAGCTGGGCGCCGACACACTCTCGTTACCGTCCTCCCCTTGGGAGGGGTCTGTGAGCAGGGACACTCCCTGAGGACACCCCCTCGGACTGCCTTCATCCGAGCACTAGATAATGAGGTGTCCAGGAAGGGTCTGCAGGGACACCGGGCGCCCTCGTGCTGCGGCCCCTGCAAACCACAAAAAGGATCCCTGGTCTGGAGCGAGAATCGAAAACCCTCGTTGCTGCAGAGGGGCTACAGGCTTCCGTCGATTGCATGTCCCAAACACGCCACGGACCCCCATTGTTTATTTGGGACAAAACAGTGGTGGAAGTGAATCTCATCTGCGATACCTGATGATTTCTTTTTATTTTTACTGATTGACTTGAGAGAGATAGAGAAAAGAAACATGGATTCATTCATCTGCTGTTCCACTTACTTACGCATTCCCTGGTTGATTCTTGTACGTGCCCTGACCAGGGATCAAACCCAGAACCTTGGCACTGGGGGTGCCCCTGCAGCCAGCCCACCTGATCCAGCAAGAATGCAAGGCAGAGGCAGAAAGTGCCAGAAGGGGTTGGAGCCAGGGGACCTGCCGGCTCAGATGCCCCCCAAGGACAGATTTCCTCGTCATTCTGGCCTGAGCAACTGTCAGCCTGCTCTTCACTCATGTTGGCTTCCCGGTTCTGGGCTAATTCCCACCTCCCCCACAAACTACTCCCCCCCCTCCCCCCCCGGTTTTCTTCCTTCCTTCTCTTACGAGCTCACCAAGTTCACCGAGGTGACTTATGAGCAGTGTCCCTTCTGTGGGCTGGGTAGCCAAGTGTCTCTCGTGAAAGAAGTAAGAGGTGTCCCTGTCCCCTCCAATTCCCGGCTCTTGAAGCTGGCCAAGTCCAGGCACCTCCTGCTGATTTATGGGGATGCACGGCTGCTGAGCAAAAAGGGTCTGTGCAGAGAGGTGCTGTGATTCATTCGAAGGGCAGAGAATTCCTGCAAGACCAGCAGGCTCCTGGAGTGAGAACACAGGTTTCCTTCCTCAGCCCAGACATCAGGCTGTGGAAGCCCAGGTTCCAGTGCTCCTGGGGCTCAGTGGCCCCCCAGGGACTTGGGGGTGGACCTGGGAAGACAGCAGGGAGCTGCGGGCAGGCAGGGGAACTGTATGGGCCCTGGGATCGGGAAAGTGTGTCTTCAGAGTGAGGGGAAGGCAGGACATTTCATGAATCGAGAGGGGACAGTGAAGGAAAAGGAGGGCATGGGACCTAGTGACAACAAGGGGACTGCAAGGACTGTGGGGACAGTTCATCAGGAAGCAGGCACCTGGGTCCTCTTTTTTGCCAGATCGACGCCTGCTTTGGAGATATTCCTCTGCCCTTAGTGCGAATTTCAACGTGAATATTTAAAGAGTGCGTTTTGCTTCATACATGACCCAGGCATGTTATAACAGGCCTCTGATAACTGTTTCTGGAATAACATGGGGTCCCCAACTCAGGCCTGATGCCAACACCCACCAGCTGTGACGTTGGACAAGTTACTCCGTCTCTGAGGGCCCAGCTCCTCTCTTGGTAAGACAGGGATGATCCGCAGGGTTTGTGGGGGGACATGACAAAGCGCAAAGTCCGAAGGGCTCAGTAAGTGTCAGCAACCGTTACTCAGGAAACTGGCCTTATCTTGGAGGACCTGAAAGAAATCCGGTTCTTGCTTCACGCTGCGCTTGGTGTACAATCAGCTACAACGTCCGCCACGGGGCTGCCGCTGCAGGTGGCAGCTTCCACCTGCTTTATTCTGGTCCCTGTGGGCACCCACTTGCCTCACACGTATAAGTTTGGGTGCTTGTTTGTTGATAGTCACTTCTTACTAAATATCGAACACTGAATCAAATCACCGACAAAGCATGGCGTGTCCCCCAGTTTCCTCACGGATGGTTTAAAGTCAATGGGAAAGTACAAGGTGTGCCACCTAAATACCGGACTCCCTCCGAAGTCGGCGAGCCTCCCTGGAACGCGGACGCTCGTTCTCTGAACAGCGAATCTGCGGACACACTCACTCCACCAGTTTCCTCAAGATGCTGCAAAGCTCAACTCATATTCCTGGAGGTCGTCTTGGCTTCGGAGCCAAGCGTTGCCGCTGGGCCTCCGGTGCGGCCCTGGACGCCATTCCTCGGGCGGTCTCCTCCACCGTCCAGCTGCCTGCTGCTGCTTCCTAGCTTCCGAGAGGAAGGAGGGCCCCGGGGAGTCCAGAGCATGTCTTCAGGTTGCGATGCCAGATACACAAGCGGCCCTGGAGCCCTCGGAAGCTCACCCAGCAGCGGCCGAAGCAGCCGGCCCCCCACCCTCACCGCCCCAACCAGCCCTCCAGAGGCACAGGCACCCCCCACCCCACACCCCAAACCGCCTGTCTTCACACAGGGACACAAGGGGAGGAGTCTGTGCAAAACCTGTTTCCCAAGCCCCTCAACAGAACTCATCACCAAAACATTCTTCGTGACAGCAACTCTAACGTGGGTCATTTAGGGTCTAAAAGAAGAACTCAATTCATGTAGCAGTATCACAGTTATATTTGTTACACAGAGTCAGGCAAATTACCTGCAGATAACAATGACTGCCATAGAGGTATATTCTCTGATTAAACAAATATATTTAATAAATGTTACATCTAACAGTACAAAAAAGGAAAAAACATTTGTTTACAAAGAGCAGAGGTAGTGAGGCTGTTTGTCTATCTATAAACAGTAAACAAAATAGAAAAATATATAAAATTACTTTTCGTAGCCATATAAAAACTATCTTCTTAAAATACCAAATAAATAAATACATTCGATAATTATTTATTGAGCTACAACACTGTAGCTACTAATGTGAAATAACTTAAATTCAGTATCAGAGTCCTGAATTTACAATACTGTATTTTTTCACTAACTTCTTTATCCGCTTCATTTTCTTCCTCAAAACTTGATGGTCTTGTTTTGAAATATACCGAAAATATCTACAACCTAAAGGAATAAAGAAACATAGTTTTAATACTGATCGAACTCTTCCAGTAGGTTTCTGCGTTTTTAACGTTGCTTCAATCCTGGCACTGTGACTGTGGAAGCAGCAAGACGGCGCCACCTGCACCGAGCTGCCCGGAGCTCGCTCGCGGGCCCGCACCACTGGACGGCCCGGCTTCCCGCCCATGAGGCAGCCTCTGGGCGCTGGAGTTCAAGCGCACATGTGAGCCTGCCTCCTGCAAAGGGGATGCCCACATTACACATTCACGTGACAAATGAGCCTTCTCCAAAGCAAATTACTGCCGATTCCCTCTGTGTCAGCTTCCGAAGCAGCGAAAGAGGCATCTCTGACAATCAGGAGGTTCTCTGCAGAAAACCCTGATGGGGAGGATTACACCAATCACAGGCCAGAGGGGATCAGAAACGATCCGGTCCTTCCAGCCACCTGCCGAGGAGCGGGATGGTGACCGCGTGGCTCCGCTGAGGCGCCTGGTGCGCACCGGAAGACCCGTTTTGGTCCTCTGCCCACTTTTCAATTGGACTGAGTATCTGAGTTGTAGAGTTGCGCGAGCTCTTCGTGTGTTTTGTATAACGGCCCCTCATCAGAGGCGTCATTTGCAAACGTGGACAGGTATTGCGATGCCCATTTCACGGGAAGGCTCCCAAAGGTTGGCTGCTTGGCTGAAGTGACATGGAAAGTTATGTGACAGAACTGGAAAATTAACCCAGGTCTTGGGACTCTGCTCAAACTCAGACACCTTGAGAAGGCAGTAGCAGAGACCTCTACGCTCCTAAACGAGGAGTCACAGCTCGCAACCCATTTCTGTCCCCTGTCATCAGCTTGTTAGAAACATTACAATCGCTTCCACGCTTGTTCACCTCTTTCCTCCTACAGAGCCAGCATTCGCGCAATCTCGGTAGCTACCTGAAACAGTCGCTGAAAATACGAACTCCTAACATAAACCTCGTCGAAAAGTGACCTGAAAACTCTCTGTACACACGTCACACTCTAAGAAGGACCTGTGTACTCGAGGTCACTGCGCAGCCCATGCCGTTCACCTCTGAACGCGCTCTGCAGCCTCACCATGTGCCAGCAATGCACAGCAAGTCAGGGTGTGAGCAGCCTACACACTCCACAGAGAAAACACTGATTTCCCTTGCTCACATGCCATTTTTAAGTTAAATTAATGGGAGAGAGACTTTTTCTTAAGTGAAAATGTTCCATCCTTATAGGCACAGGTTAAGTAAATACAATATAAAGCTATCATAAAACATTAAGGTCAATGAAGAACATTTCCCTATTTCTGATACAGCAGACAATCCCAGGAGACTTTCTACACGGCCAAATGGCCGTCTGCTGCGTAAACAGTCTGCACCTGTACCTCACGGGCCCCACAGGTACTGGCGTCAGAGCAGAACACCAACCACACCACAGCGTAGCATCCCGGTTTCTCAGGCACGGAGCTTCGAGCCCACAGACGGCCTGGCCCCAACCCAGGACTCATTTCTCTGTTCACCGGCTTCCCTATGCAACAGCTATTTTTCTAGCCTCTAACGCCCACGTGTACTGCACAAGGTGAGCTGTAAGATGAGTGAACGGTTACACTCCGTGATTTCAAAACTGTCCCAAGGCCACATCCAGATGGAAAAGACACAAACACGCACCTTTCCCCAGCAGCACCCCCGCCACGAAGGCTTTCTCGTGAGCCAAAGCCTTATCCTCCTTCCAGTCACTTTTTGCCCAGAAGAAGCTGAAGTGAAAGCTTGGCCACCAGTTCTTCCTGGAAGTCCACTGCTCATGAACCCAGCCAACGTGATTTCTGGAAAAGAAAACGTCAAGCACAAGGTCAAGGGTGGAGATGGAGCTCCACTGCCAGGTTGTGAACTCCAGAGCCTGCGGAGCGACCACAAGGAGGACGTCTCCCAGCTCCCGTCTGAGCCCGGCAGAGCACAGGCCAGAGTGCACCCTGTCGGCTCCGTCTGTCCCCAGGTCCCATGCCCGATGAACTGAGCGGCGGGGTCAGTCGGCAGTGCGCACAGTGCACCCTGTCGGCTCTGTCTGTCCCCAGGTCCCATGCCCAATTAACTGAGCAGTGGGGTCAGTCGGCAGTGCGCACAGGCAGCAGCACGGGCTGGGAGGTCAAGGCCCTGGACGCACCTCTCAGGCCTCCCATGTTCCGTCGGGTGCAGCCCGACCACGTGTTTGCCTCCCCGAGCTCTTTCAGTCCCCTCCAGGGCATCAGCGGCACCACCTCGCAGCACTGTCGCCGGGGTCGCACCGGCCCCGCAATGCGGCCGTCTCTGACAGACCCCTTGGCGTGCTGTCTGGCGCATGGTAAATGTTCCATAAATGTTAGATTTTATTACTAATTAAAAGTTACTTTAAAACCTTATTTTAAATTACATGTTACAAAAAACTACTGCCCACATTCAGATGCCGTTTCCACCCCCACACACGACGAACACACGGGTGGGCAGCCACGCCGGACGGTGCTGAGTGCTCGTCAATCACTGAACTGAGCGAAGGCCTATCTGGGACCCACCTGGCAGAACCCCCCAAGTTCAAAACAGGGGCAGCACGTTTCTCTGCCTTCGGGAACTTCGTGGTTAGCAGCGGTCTAGACAGGGCTTTAGACCTGCAAAGCACTCTGCTGTGAGCACATCAACGCCCCAGGAACATTGTACAGTCAGCCCTGTTCTAACTCCAAGGCCACAGCCGAAGCCTGAAACCTACTCCCACTGACCATGAACGTCCTAACCAACTAACATGGACTCAGTTAATAAAGAAAACGGTTTTTGATGTCCTTTCTTCCCACCAAGTGAAAACAACAAGGGCCGCTCCTTTCCCTAAGAATGTGGCACTGCTGGTAGGTATCGTGATGAAAGGTGTCACTTTCGATGCCCAGCTCACAGTGCGCTTCGCGTTTGCTGGACAGACACCTACGATGATCCCGCAAGGCCCCACAACCCCAGTGAATCGGTGTGAAAGCGGCTGGGATCTGTGACCTTGGTGCCGTGCGGATCACAAAGAGCTTTACGGGGGCCTCGCAGGGTAGGAGGGACCCCTCTGTCCTTCTTCCGATTTGAAAAACCACATATTCCCTGACGGTGTGGTGGGACTGACTTTGCGAGCATAAAAAAATCTTGAATTTTTGTAGGAAACACTTGTGACTTGGTGTGTCCTTGCTTCTGATGGTCTCAGAAGAAAGCAGCAGAACACACAGTTCAAGAAACCCAACAACACAGGCAAAGAACTTTACTTAAAAACTGACAGGTATCAGCTATAATATTGGGAAACGTTACTTATGCTGACCCAGTAATAAATACCATGTGTCTTACTCACCCCATTAAGGTCTGTCTGAGATATTTTGCCAAATATTGCCAAGCAGTCACGTTCTTAGTGCATCCGGCAAAATCCAGGACTCCGAACAGCACCTCCAAGCCCAGCCTGCGGTGCTCTTCCTGCTCTGCAATGGGCACAGTGATCAGAGGCAACGCACAGCGCCCGAGCGCACACACAGAGCCGAAACAATACGCTCGGTGGGTAAAATGCTGCTGAAGCACAAGCCCCGCAGGCTGGTAAACGGACTAAACCAGTTCACGGCACTCATACTCTCCGGCGGTGCATCTGAAAAGTCCAATAACTCAGTCCACCCTCAAAGTTGGAGTGCTGAGTCTGATCTCTACGTGGGTTGCACTGCTGAACGCGTGAGTTAGGGGTGTCAATACACCCCCATCCCCACGGTCAAAAGTCCCTGTCTAACTTTTAAGATTTTATTGACTCATTTGTAGAGAGAGGGAAGGGGAAGGAGGAAGAGAGGGAGAGAAACATTGATGTGTGAGAGATACATCAACTGGTTGCCTCTCACACTCCCCTAAGTGGGGACTGGGAATTGGACTAGTGACCTTTCAGTTCGCAGGTTGGCACTCAATCCACTGAGCCACTCCAGCCAGGGCCCGTGTCTAACATGTGAGTCCCAAAAGACTTAACTACTAATGGCTCACTGTTGACCAGAAGTCATACCGACAACACGTACTTTGTCTGTTCTCTGTATTATATACTGTACTCCTACAACACAGCAAGCTGGAGAGACCTAAGGAAAACACTTTTACGGTATGTACTTTGAAGATCCTGCATGTCGGTAGACCCAGAGTCCGGACCTATGTTGTCGGAGGGCCAAGTGCACACCGAGGGCCTCACCTAAAGAGCTGCCCCACTGAAGCACCTCACCTGTGCTTCCTCCCCCGGCAGAGGCACCGACACAGTCTCAGCACCGACTGGACTTGGGCCGTTTTTCCCCGTGAAGACACATTCTTGTCTACACGGAGCTAGGGTGCAGTAGGGATTAAACAAGGTGAATTACAGAAAGTAAAGCCCTTTCTCTTTTGCGGACTGTTGCCTAACATACTACAGCAGAAGTCAGTGAAGGTTTTTGTAACGGGCCAGATGGTAAATATTTAAGCTCCGAGCCACATGGTCTCGGTCACAACTAAGCGGCTCTGCGGCTCTGTGCAAAGGCAGCCGCGGCCGACCGGTCGGTGAGTGGGCTGTGGTCCAGTGGAACCCGGTCCATAGCACTGGCGAGCGGGGGTTTGCTGACGCGCCCCTCCACCCCACCCCCGTCCAGCAAGGAGATTTAAAACACACGTGACTTACCTGATTTTCTCAGTAACCTATGGAATTCTAACATCAGTTTATGAGATGGCACAATCTGATACAAAATCTGAAAGAAAGAGTAATTTTGTAAAATTTACCCATGCAAAAGGCACTTCTCAAATTTCAGCTTACTTTAAAATAAAGCTCTGACTGTCAAACAGACCCTCAGTGAATGACTCACAGACTTAACATATGCTTTGCTTTTATCCAGTTTCAATTTGGGTATAGAAAGTGTTCAATCTGAAACTATTTTTTTTTAAATCCCTGACAACAATGAGATAATCAGAGGAGTGGGGGAAGCATGTGGAAATTCTTTCATTTTCTCCTTCACGGAAAATTGAACTTTTCAGAAGTCCGTTAACAACAAATTCTTCAGCCTGACTGGTAAGGGGCGAAACCAGCGGCTGGTAAAGCGGGGTTGCACAGGAAAACTCGGTCAGACGGACTCAGGCGCGGAATCCAGACGCGTGGAATCCAGGCGCTCGGAATCCAGGCGCAGGGTTGGACCTAGTGAGCGACCGAGTGAGTGAGTGACCAGGAGAGCGACCTCGGGGGAGACAGCGGGGGAGCGGTGCTGCATGTTGACTGTGGTCGCGCATTTGTGCGCGGGTGGACAGGCGAGGCAGTGGGCGGTTGGACCGGGGCCCAGCGGGTCCCCCGCGGCAAGCGGCAGGGAGGGCGCCGCCATTTCCCCGCTCTGACCCCACCTCCACGTACAGCGTCATAACCCAGCGACTCTGAGTGGCCTGGCCCAGGTGAACCACCTGAGGCGCTGATCCTCACCCAGCTGTGAGAAACAGCAGAGGGGGCCGCCATTTCCCCGCTCTGACCACGCCCCCACATACAGCGTCACAACCCAGCGACCTGGGAGTCCAAGGCACCGCTTCTCACACTTAAAGGCGCAAACAGACCAAAAATGGCGCAAGAAGATCTCAAAGCCCCAGAGCCAATAGATCTAAGCGCTAAAGAAATAGCAAAACTCTCAGACGCACAGTTTAAAACACTGGTCATCAGGATCCTCACAGAACTGGTTGATTATAGCCACAAATTAGACAAATATATGAAGGCAAAACTAATTGAAATGAATGGAATTGCACAGGACATCAATAGCAATGAAATGGAAACTGGGACTCAAATCAATGGAGTGGACCAGAAGAAAGCAAATAATGGCCAAACAGAAAAGAGTCAAGAAGCAAGAATTCAAAGCAATGAGGAGAATCTTAGGAACCTCCAGGACATCTTTAAACGCTCCGACATCCGAATTATAGGGGTACCAGAAGGGGAAGAGGAACAGCCATCAGTGGAAAACTTATTTGAACAAATAATAAAGGAGAACTTCCCCAATCTGGCAAAGGAAATAGACTTCCAGGAAATCCAGGAAGCTCAGAGTCCCAAAGAAGTTGGACCCAAGAAGGAACACACCAAGGCACATCATAATTACATTAGCCAAAATTAAAATGAAGGAGAAAATCCTAGAAGCAGCAAGAGCTAAGGGGACAGTCACCTACAAAGGAGTCCCCATCAGACTGTCAGCTGATTTCTCAAAAGAGACCTTACAGGCAAGAAGGGGCTGGAAAGAGGTATTCCAAGTCATGAAATCCAAAGACCTACAACCAAGATTGCTCTATCCAGCAAAACTTTTATTTAGAATGGAAGGACAGATAAGGTGCTTCTCAGATAAGATCAAATTCAAGGAGTTCATCATCACCAAGCCCTTATTATATGAAATGTTAAAGGGACTTATCTAAGAAAAAGAAGTTAAAGAGGAACATGAACAGTGAAAGGACAACAAACTCACAGTTATTAACAACCACACCTAAAATGAAAGCAAACTAAAAGGACAGCTAGATCAGGAGTGGAAACATAGAAATGAAGATCTCAAGGAGGGTCAGCAACAGGGGAGTGGGAGGAGGAGAAAGGGGGAGAAGGTACAGAAAATAAGTAGCATAGATAGTAGATAGAAAATAGAAGAGGGGGCAAGAATAGCATGGGAAATATAGAATCTAAAGGACTTGAGACACATGGTCATAAACTAAAGGGGGGGTAATGGTGGGGATGGGGGGTAGTGTGGAGGGGAATGGAAGGGGGAATAGAACAACTGCAACAGCATAATCAATAAAATTAAAAAAATAAATCAAAAAAATAAAAAAAGTTAACATTGTAAAAAATAAATAAATAAAAGCAGAATTTAAAGTAAAATTGTATTTCTCATCCTAACACATTTAACATTAAAAATGAATTCATTCTGTCTGCTTGCTGAGGTTCTTTGACTTTATACTGAAATAATTTCCTATAAAACACAAAGTAACTTTTTTTCTTCTAAATAGCTTTTTAAAGGGAAATCAATAATAGTATCTGAGAATATTATTAAAATTTGGTTTTTACAAAATCATAGTCTTACATACAGAATTCTGTATATGGTTGAATTCACTTAGATTTTTCAAAAACTTTTTGTTAAAATATAGCATGTAATAGACACGTTACAAATTACGTGTGTCATTCAATAAATATTTACAAAGTTATACACACTTATGTAATCAGCAGCCGGATCAAGAAAACAGAGCATTATCAGAACTCCAGAAATGTTTGGTCAGTTTGACAAAGTTCTTAGATATTAGCTCTGCGAACACTGGCTTTTGTCTGTTTGCTTGTTTGCCTGTTTGCTTTGGCCCTGTTCTGCTGCCCCTCCCCTGGGCGGTGACCACATCAGACCTTTGCGCCGAGTCCTTCATACACTCTTTTTGCCCTCTTTGTCCTTTCTGCTTTCCATACATTAACCTGGTATTTCCCATACAGCCCATTAACCCTTTCTTCTGTTATGTGCAACGGCTAATAAACTCATCACTGAGTTCTTAAAATCAAACACTGCAGTTTTCAAAAGGAAAAACTGAATTTCTCTAAGCCCACCTGGTCTTGAAGGCAAGGAAATGTCCAACATAGTTATTTTCTGTTGGATACACAGGGTCAGTTGATTTTCAACAAGGTCTTCCAATGTAATTCAGTGGGAAAGGATAGTCCTTCCCACAAATGGTGCTGCAACAAATCATATGAAAAACAATGGACCTTGACCCTGACCTCACACTGCACTAAAAAAATCCACTGAAAAATAATATGTCTAAGCATAAAACTGTAACGCTTCTAGAAACAAACATAGAAGAGAATTTCATGAGCTTGAGTAGGCAAAGATTTCTCAGACAAAAAGTATTAGTAAGTAAAAAGTAATTAGAAAAGAAAGATGCATAAACTATACTTTATCAAAGTTATAAATAATGCTTTAAATAAGACATAGAAATATCCAATAAGCATATTAAAAAGATGCTCAACAGTCATTAGGGAAATGCAAACTAAAACCACAATGAGACACCACCACAAAAATAGAATGGCTGTAATTCAAGAGTGACAAAACCAAATGTTGACAAAGATGTGGAGAAATTGGTCTTTCGTCCACTGACAATGAGAAGGTCAACAGTACAGTCACTTCAGAAAACAGGCAGTTTCTTAGGAAGTCACATACACACTTCCCGGCAAGTCCACTCTCGGGCAGATACCCAAGAAAAGCGAAAATCTATGTGCACACAAAGACTTTGCACGTGAACGTTCACAGCAGCATTCCTAATGGCCACACGTAGAAAAAAAAAACAAACGTCCATCAAAAAGAGACTGCGTGAACATGGAATTCTACTCAGCAGCAGTAAGTAACAACCACCGAGACACTAGCACAGATAAAGCTCAAAAACATTACGCTGAGCAAGAAAAGCCAGGCAAGAAAAGAGTGCATACGGTAAGATTTCATTTATATGAAATTCTAGAAGAGATTGATTTAACCGATGGTGACAGAGAGCAGCTCAGGGATTGCCGGGGCCAGGAGTGGGGGGTGGACTGGCTGTAAAACAAAGGGACTTTCTAGACTGATGGAAAAGCTCCATATTTTGGGTATCGTGGTGGTTACATGGGTGTATATATTTGTTCTAAGTGTACACTTAAAACACGTGTTTTGTCATAGGTAAATTTCAATACAGGTGATTTTCAAACAAACAGCAATGCAGAACTTTCCAAGCTGGGGGGCAAGGGGGGTCCCCTGAAATGCGGATCCCCCCACCCAGGCTCAGTGGGGTGGGCCAGGGCCGCGACCTGGAGCGGACAGCCTCCCGGTTCAGTGCCTCGCACCCCCACACCGACCCTGCCTCGTTCCGGGGGCGCTGCAGTGCGAAAGCTGGGAAGCGATGAACTCACATGAAGGCTTTCAAGTAGATCCCCAACCCCGTTCAAACACTGACTAAATATTCTATACCTTCAGCACACTTATGAGCTTCTCCCTTGGAGCCTTCTCTCTCTTTAGAAAGTTGTACAAGTAGACGTGCGCATTCGGGTTTGACGGGAACTTCTCATCGTAGGCGTAATTAGTGAGGACCTCTCGGGCTCCGTCCCGATCCCCACAGAATTCCAGCATCTACAGAAGCAGACACGCTGTCTTAGCGACACCTGTGTGAAAGGTAACGCCCGACTCACTGATGGGTACGAGGAGGTCACGAAACTGGACAACAGCCTTCGCTGCCTGGGAACAGGGGGAAGGCCAGCTCCTGTGCCTGCCAGTGCAGTGCCTCTCACAACCTCTACGGAGCACAGACGTCACTCACAACAAAGGCCCATGTGGGTCCCCACAGTTTCCCTGTCACACTTTGTTACCGAGAAGTGCAGCACCTCCACCGAAGCGCTGCCCTGTAAGAAATGCGGCGCTGGACGCGGAGCACAGGGCGGCCGAGAACCTCGGTGCCTAGTCAACCCGAGCCCCGGAAGGAGTGGATCCCTCCCCTCTCATCCCCACCCTCCCCAGGTACTTCCAGACCCACCAGCATTTTGCTGGATGGATCATGTTCTGACAACCCAATTACCACTTCGGCACCCACGAACCACTCAAAAGGCAAACTGTTTAGATGGTTTATTCCCAGTGCCCAGCGCCGAGGCCCCTCGGTCGCTTCACAGTGACTGCGCAAACAGGACGTCCTCATGAACGTCCTAAAAGCCGTTATTCTTCACCCGATACGTGGTGACCTAACTTCGGATTTCTGCCTCCTTCCCACCTCGTCCCATTGAATCATAAACGATCCTGCTGCGTTTCCTCTCAGCTCAGTGAGGACAACACAGGTTGATGTTTACAGCTAGGCTGCTATTTAGTTTGTATTTGTCTATGACACACTGTCCAGTGGTAAAAACAAACACAAAGTCACACTGACAGTGCACTACTATGAACAACAGTTACGCAGACCAAAAAACACACATCTTATTTTTTAAACAATTTTAAACATTTTAGTTTCCTTCCGATCCACAGAGATTAGGCTTCAATGAAACTAATAAAACTTCATGAAGAGTCTACTTACCTCCACGTAACTCCTCACAAACGGGTCCCAGACTCCGGGGGTCTGGACCAGCGAACGGAAGTTTGCGGAGGTCTTCCAGCCGTGGTCGAGCACACCCTGAGACACGGCGTGATGGGCATAGTCACCCCCATCTGCTCAAAAACAAGAGAGAGGTTCCTGAGAGTCATCCAGTATGGGAGGCTTCCGCCGAACCGGCCGGCAGTAAGTACCCATGAGAAAAGAGCAGGCCCCAAGGGCTCTGCTGGTGAATTATAACAAATAAAGAATAACTAATTCCTCAGAAGCTCTTCCCCCTGGAACAGGTGATGGTGATGGATGTACAGCTTTTTGTGCGTGTACCGCAAAGCACTCAACTGTGTGCTTTTAATGGATGAATTGTATTCAGAACTACATCTCGATTTTCAATAAAGCTGTCTTTTGAAAAAAAAATACAAGAGATCACCACACCTTACAAATTGGGTGACGTGAAAAATCTAGCAGAACGTACATGAAAGAGATTACAGACTAAAGAAAACCCTGATCAGACTCCCAGTGGAAAATGAATTGGAAACCACTTTGGAAAGGGTTCAGCCTATCATCCACTAAAGCTGAAAATGCACACACTCCATGACAACGACTCTACTTCTGGAGACACACACCTATGTGGACCAGTACACGTGCCCAAGAACTTGAGACATTATCTCTAATAGCCAAAAACTGCTAATAACCTAAATGGCCATCAACAGATAGAAGGAATAAATTGTATGACGATCATACAACGGACTGTTTTAAAAACTAATGTTAAACAAAATGCACAAACAGGACACTCCCAGGCAAGCAACCCTCACGGCACTGCCCACAGACACACCCCGGAGTGGGCAGTGTTGTGAAACGCAAGGGTGTGGCTGCAGGGACAGGCAGGACAGCGGTCCTCTGGAGACGGGACAGGAGCGGTGTGGTCCGGAAGGTACCCAGGGGAGCCTTCTGCACAGCAAGGTCCTGGATCTGGGCGGTGATTACATGCACATTCTTTCTATCACACATCTATTTTATAGACCTTTTCTGTGCACTCAAAGGTCCTCAAATGACACCTTGCGTTCACGCCGTCTCATTGCAGCGCTGATGACATGCCAGAGGAACTTAACTCTGGTTTATGTCCATCAGCCCAGGGTAAAACCAGGTCGGTCACCTGTCAGTTCACTGAAAGTCACAGCATCTATCCCAACAACATTGAGTGAGGACTTTCCGTATATTTCATAATCTTATAGGTTTAAAAAGAAAGTTACTCAGTCTCTCAAAAGCAACAGCTAACAGAAAACCAAAGTACTTTTGGGGACCACTGCTACTTTTTAGCCAATAAGTAATCCTCACCAAAATAAGGACCTCCCTGGTGGACCACTGAATAAATACCAACATAACCTGGAAATGGGGTGGTAAGGGGAAAGTAGGCAAGAAAGGACAGAGGAAGAGATTTTAAAGAAAAAAGGCAGATCCCTAAGAAAGCATAAGCTGGCTGTGAACCTGCTCTGGAAGGGGGTCCCCCGTCACCACGCACATCAAGTCCAAGCAGGGCAGCCACAGGAGCAGAGGGAAACGGTTCCAAGCCAACTCGAGGCACAGTTTTGTTCTTATGAGCTTGGTTACATAGAACTAGTCCTAACTTTTTAGTTAAACAGACACCTGAGGCTGGAAATCACCCGAAGAGCTCCACGCGACAGCCCACCTTCACCTGCTGCCGCCACAGGACAAAGTGTCGGCCGCAGGAAGGTTCTGAATCACCCGTCCATGGAGGGGACGCGGCGCAGGCCAGGTTCCAGCTGCTTTCATCATCAGATAGCTACTTAAGTTCAACCTGACCATGTGCGAGAAGTAAACACTGACTTTAAAGATTACCTGATCGACATCAGCAAGCCCTTGAAAATATTACAGTGGGCGTTATGGCAAGTTAACTAAAGAAAAGAAAGACAGACATGTGAACTCAAAAGACAGACTGGCGTAAACGAGAAGCTACACCTGACAAAGCTCAGAACAATTAAGAAGCAAGAGATGACGAACCACACGATACAGGCTGGACATGTGGCCGACCCACCAGGAAGAGAACACGAGGTCCAGTGAGTGCAGAAGGGCGGAGGGCATTCTGGGTAAGGAGACTGCACAGGGGCCTGACCAGGTCACCGGGAAGCAGGCAGAGGTTCAGAATGATCTCGGGAGAGAAAACAACTAGAGAGAGGGAAGGGCATTTTGAGATTAGTAAAAGCAGGAACCCGAGACCCAAAAAACACTGCTCATCTCACAAGCCTCCCAAGGAAATGCTGCTCAGCACACACGCCGCGGTAAATAAACAGTGCACAGAGATCCGGGCACAGAACGAGAACGTAACAAGAAAGGGGCGAACCCCAGAGACGCGACAGAGAAAACCTGAACGAGGGAGAGAAAACGCAGGGAATCCACAGCTCTAAAGATGACAAACAGGGGCTGGCACAGCGGCGCACCCCCCCACAGAAACGATCAGAGCGAGGGGACCCGTGTGAGGACACGGGGCCAGCTTTCGGCACAGTCAGTCAATCAAGAAAACTGTCTGTCATGACCCCTGTACAGAGATGGAGCAACTTCATCTTGCTCTGCACTTTCGACATATCATTCTGAAAAACAACGTAAGAAAATACACTAAACCCCATTCTAAACCCACAGGCAACACTGATTATATGCAGTAACACCTGCTAAAGAAAATGATCATCCTTCTTGGACTCATGTTTAAAAACAGCAATGAACCTAAAGCAGTCATCAACGTAACTTACAAATTGTGTAATTTCTGTCTGAAAAGTTCTTTGATCTATCAAAAACGTAAAGGATGATGACTGAGAATTGTACATCCATGGAAACGTCTGTTCTCAGGAGTTTCGGAGAAAAGCCCAGCTGGACAGCTGGGGGACTGACTCCCCCTTAAGGTCCCCGTGACTCAGCCCCATCACCACAGGACAAGCTCACGCAGACCCACTCACCAAGCTCGGACAGCTCTGCCTTCTTCTCAGACCAGGTGTAATACTGCAAGAGCCCTTTGTAGGCCTGAACGAGGTTGATGAGCACCTCCTGGGAAGTGGACTTGTCGCCGTACCGCCACGTCTCCGCCTGGCTGAGGCTTCTGCTGGCGTCGTCAAGCAGCCCGTGGTGCAAGAGGTACAGCGCGTGCTGTAAGGAGATCTGCAACGGCGACAAGGAAATGCCCCTGACCTTCAGGTCCTCACACAGCAATTAGTCAGAGAGCTCGGTCCACACGTGGTCCTCGCTGCGCCGAGACCTGGGTAGCTAGTGCACCAATGATCTCACAGCACTGTCCCTGTCATCAGAAGTTTCAACCTGCCCTAGCTGGTGTGGCTCAGCGAATTGAGTGCCGGCCTGCAAACAAAAGGGTCACTGGTTCAATTCCCAGTCAGGGCACAGGCCTGGGTTGTGGGCCAGGTCCTCTGTTGAGGGCACTTGAGAAACAACCACACACTGATGTTTCTCTCCCTCCCTTCCCCACTCTCCAAAATAAGTAAAATATACATATTTTTTATATTTCAATCTAGACAAGAGAAAGTACACCAGAAACAACACGAGGTGAATGAGAGTAAAATTACATAAGCTCACAAAGAGAAGGCAGCGAGATCCAGGGGAAAGAACCTGGGCTCTGCAGACAGTGTCCTGGCTCAGATGCTACGCAAAAGCCATGCAAATGGAGAGCACAGTGGTGGCCACTGAGGGCGGGGAGAGCGGAAGGCGGCGGTCCAAGGCCACAAAGGTCCAGTATAAGATGAGTAAGTGCCGGGGACCTGCAGTGCAGTACGCTAACCACCGCCGACCATGCTGACCTGCTCACCTGAAAGCCGCTGAGAGAGCGGAGCTTTACTGCTCTCAGCGTAACAGCAGCACCACCACCAACGCAGTGGTGACTCCTCGAGGGGAAGGACGCGCTAACTCACCTTCCCGCGATAACTCGCACAGTGTATCGTGCGGCAAAGCATCACACTGCACCCATTAAACTTATACAATGTCATGTGTCATTACATCTCGATAAAGCTGGGAAAAACGTCCTCATGTACTCAAATTCCCAATTTGTTCAGCTCTATCCTTTCCCCAAAGCGCCAATTCCTAAGAGCTCCGAGGACTTAGGCGAAGGGTGAGGACGTGGCCCATCACCACAACGCACACAGATACCGTCCCCGAACGATGGGCTCTGGCAGCCAGAGATGCACAAGCAGAAGGTACTTTGCTCAGAGAATACGGTGGGAGCGGAAATGGAGAAGTAAATGGTCCTCACAACACCGCTTTCTTTCCGGTTCTCTTATTTATCCAGGAGTCTTACCTTTCTGTCCCTACCTTTCACCTGCTACCCTTTACCACCGGGAAAAGCGACTCCGGCACCAGAGCGCCGCGGAGGCGCAGCACAAAGTCCACGCCCTCACCTTTAAGTAATTCATCACGCCGATGTTCTTCATCCTGTCAGCAAAGGCGCTGAAGGTCTCCACGCTGCTTTTGGGATGGTAATAGAGAATTTCACTTCCGAGTCTCCATATAATCTGTCGAAACAGAAATTACTAACAAACATGTAAAATCTTTGCCTTAACCAATGTCTAAAGAAAGCCCTTTTTCACGATTACAACATTAAAAAGCACCCTTTAATTCCTTTTATTTGATACCACCTCCAGCAACATTGTACTGCACTTCACCCAGTGAGACTAACATGGTATCATATGTGATACAATCCATCTCAGCAACTGAATCAAAATTCCAGGTAACTGTAACAGTGCCATTTTTAAGTTAGTAGTCTAAAAAGGTAGGCAGATAAGATACACACTGAAGATAAAAATTTTAACAATGAAAAGAATCAAAAAACTTGGGTTCTATTAATATCGTTTCTTCATTGCTCTTGGTTTCGTCTTTATTATCTACAAAATGAGGGTCACAGACTATAGACACCGCCTGAGACCTCAACAAGCTTCATTACTATTGACTGTATGTAATCTAGATGGAGAACTCCAATTTAAGAATTTTTACCAGCCACGGACAAATGTCAATGAAATTCATTTTCTCCCCACAGCACTGGAACTTTGGTGACAGAGACCAGGGCTCTTCTTTTACATGGAAATGAGAGAGATGTCAGGGCCACGGGTGCATGAGTGGGAACCTCTGGCACGGAGACCAAAGATAAGGCTATGGAGGGGGAAGAGGTCACCCCGAGTGGGTTCAGGGAGAGAAGACGAAGGCCTGAGTTCTGGGCCAGGAAGAGGAGCAGGGAGAAAAGGAGACAGAGGCAGGCCAGTGAGGCAGGAAAGAGAACAGAGAAAGCCTCGTGTCCTGGAAGCCAGGGGACAGTTTATCACACAGGAGGCAATGACCTAAGGCCAACAGATCAAGTTAGATGAGCACTGAGAACTGCCACTGGATTTAGCAACATGGAGCACTGCTGACCTTGACAGAGCATTTGGGGAAATGGGGACAGTGGCTGTCGGGGAAGCCCAACCGGAGACTGGAGAAAACAGGTTCACACACACTCTTTCCAGTTTTGCTGAGCGGGGGAGTGGGAAAATGGGGCCGATGGAGGAAGAGGGGGTCAGAATGATTTTAAGATGGATCAGTAACATGTTTGTATGATGATAGGAAGCATCCTATAGAGAAGGGAAAATAATGGCAAGGGGGAAAAATGAATTATCTGAATTAATAAATCAATGTTAGGGAAATCTGAGAATTCAGAATTCAAACTATTTTTAGTCTCCTTTGAAATCACAGTAAGTAACAAGAGTGTGTGAGATAATGCCCCTGTACAAACACTCCATCTGAAAATACTTTTAAATCAATTTGAGACCCTACAAAAGCTATTCTGGGTGGAGCTCAAAAGGCTGAATCGCCCAAACACCAGTAAGCCCTCCCCGGGGCCCACACCTCACTCACCTCGGGCGCAGTCTGCCTTTTGTTGCTGTCTGAATCCTCCAAGATCTGGAAGTAACTGTGCATGTATTCGGCCGCTCGCTGCCACTGGTGCTTCAGCAGAGCTTCCTGGATGAAACCTAAACAAGTGCTCGTTGTCTGAGCAAAATCCTTCTCCTTTTTCCCTCCAGTCGCTACAAAGATTAAAGAGAAGAGTCTTTGAACCTTGTGCATTCATTAGCAAAAATAAAATATGAGAAGAAACTCGTATTGCTCACTATGCTGGACACTCTATGCCAGAAACTTAACATGTTATCTGTTTGTTTTTCTCATATAGTTCAGTCATTAAAAGTATAAGCTCTACTCACTGGCTGGTGTGGCTTAGTAGATTGAGCACTGGCCTGTGAATTGAAAGGTTGCTGGTTGGTTCCTGGTCAGGGCACATACCTGGGTTATAGGCCAAGACCCCAGTTGGGGGCATGTGAGAGAGGCCACCACACATTAATGTTTCTCTCCCTCCCTTCCCCTCTAAATAAAAAGTAAAACCTAAAAAAAAAAAAGCATGGGCTTTAAGATAGACATGGCTTTGACTCCTGAGACTAGCACTTAAAGAGCTATTTGAGATCCGGTTTCCTTATCTTGAAAATGCCCAGCACAAAGACTTACTGAGAATGTACTGATATAATTACATGAGACGAGATTTAGATGAAAAGATAAAAAAATTGGAGCTAAAGTCTAGAACTAAGGGAAAAGCAGTATTGGAGACCTTGCTTCCCAGTAACTGTCATCAGTTGGGGCTCAAAGTTCTTTACAGGTTTGGATGTTTCTTACATCAACAACAAATTCAGATTAAAGCTACCATTACGTAAATGTGCTGCACTGTGAAGAAATGTCATTTTTCACTTGTATGTTAGCATTTTACTTGGGGCCAATTATTTTCAAATGCCCTGTTTTCTCTTTTTGAGTTTGGATATTTTAGGACACAGAACATTAGAGAAAAAAGGAACTAAAAATGACCTTACGAAGGCAACTAATTTGCACAAGGTCAAAGGTTAGGACACATGGACAATTCACAGGTTTTCTTCACCCTCCACCCCATGACCTATATTATTTTACTAGAAAGAGTAACTGCCCTGTGTTGACAGAGCCTGGTATTGGGACTCCTGCTGAACGTATTCTCAATCTGGCACTTTTTCTTCTCTATTTAATTAAACTTTTTTTCTCTCTTATCAAGTAAGAAAAAACCCCCGCCTACAATCCATCAGCCACAAAAGGGGGGGCGGGGTGGGAGAGAGGAGGTTAGATTAGGAAAGAGGAATTTGAGGGCAATGAAGAAAGTACTGGTTCAAATGCATTCCCAGAACCACATCGTCCAGCATGGCAACATACAGATCATCACTTCTTCTACATGTCCTTATACAGATCATCACTTCTTCTACATGTCCTTATACGGGATTTATCTCATAGAGAAATGTGTTTATATTCACATCAGATGGAAATGGGAAGAAATATCCTGCTTTCAAAATCTGTTATAGACCAATTCTATTAGTAATTATTTCAATGCAATTTCAGGAGCAACTTCTTAAAAGTACCTCCTAGGTACCAAAGACCACATCTTCTTCATCTACACAGACCCAACAGTCAGCCGATGCCAGGGATATAATAAGCGCTCAATGAGAGAAAAAAAAAGTATCTTCCATAATATGGACTGTTATTAATTCAAAGGAAAAGAATTCTAAAAGAAATAAGAACCTATTTTTTATTATTTCTTTTTCACTACAGCATAAGAAACCCTCATGTATTTATTCCTATCTTGAAAACTGAACCAGCTTGGTTCTTCATTTTGTATCCACACTGACTCTGATCTCTTGCGCTGACAGCAAACAGTCATATGTTGTTTCACTCACCCACACTCTCTACAAGCTTTTGCAACCAAGGAAAACGCATTCCTGAACCAGAGCCCACACTCCGTTCCCCTGGGTCATCCTCAGTCACGGGCCTTAGCAAGTCTTCGCTGAAATCACTCATACCTATTTCAAAATGAGAATTATCAGTTACTTTCTGTACATCTTAGTCCACAGTCTTCTGAGTGATACAGAAAAACAGACATTTTAAAATCTAGCTGGTTAGCAAAATTCATTGTACTGGTAGTTCCTTCGGAAAACAAACTTACGTCAGCATCAGCCGAAATAAATGATCCATCCAAAAAACAGAAAAATGTTACGTTTCAAAAAAACACAACAATAAATATGACCTCTGGAGTTAAAACAATAACACAAAGAAAACCCAACTCAAGTCTGGAGAAACAGCAAAATAATGCAAACTAACAAAAACAATACAATAGTAATACCAGCTAATATTTACTGGCCCTTTCTATACACTGGGCACATAAATCAACTAATTTAATCCATACAGACTTTCTATGATTTTTTTTCCATGTTCATGCTGAAAAAAAGAAACGGTTTAGGGAAGTAATGTCACCTGGCACAACCTCAGCAAGATGAGGAGATAGTCTACACCCGATGGTTCGTTATAACATAGGTCCTACTGAAACTGCCTTCCCTCTTCTCCACAATCCTACACCCCTACCCTCCCTCGTTCAGAACACCTTGAAGTTGAGTCTAGATTACTGCATTAGCTTTCTACCTAGTGACCCCGCCTCGAATTTAGCTACTTCACGTCGGATCCAGCGTGTATCTTCTAAAATCAAATTCTGTAGTTAGCAGCAAGGGTTTTAAATAACACGGAATTTAAATCCCATGCACGTGTGTTTTAAGGAGTCCTTAAAGAAGACGCTCTTCGTTCCCAAATTCTCAAAAACTACAGAGGTGTCACGCACGTACCACCTTAACCTTAACCAAAACGTTGCCACCCTTGTGCCCCCTTCTCAGAACCCAAGGAGCGGCGCATCAGGAAAAACATGCCTGGAGAACACTGGTGAACGCTAGCGCAGCCCTTCCAGTTCCTCCCGGACTGCCAGCAGTGACTGCCGGCCCATACCCGGGGGCCCTACCTGCCTAAAGCCGGACCCTTCCTGCACCACTAAACCTCGGATCCTGAGTCTGGCACTGCAGGAACAACCACCGGAAGCGGAGTCAGCGACTGCTGCGTGTGAGCATGCGCACAATCCGCTTCGGGCTCGAGGGCGGGGCGTAAATGCAGCTACGGACCCTTACTTCCGTCGCGCGAACTCAGCTGCGACCCTAACTTCCGCGGGGCTACCGTCACCGTCCCAGGTTTGCCCCCCCACCCCCTTGCCGCCGTTCCCCCGGCCCCAAATAACCCGGAAGTGATCGCGACCTGCCGCCCTCCCAGTGCCTTCGTTCCAGATGTAGTTTTAGTCGTTCCCAGTCGGGAAAATGGGAGAGGCGATCGGAGGGCAAGTAAATGAGTCAAAATGCAAACTGTCAATTCACCCCAGTGATTCACCTTTAGGTTTTTGATTGGGTGGTGGTCCTGGCAAAATATACCTGCATAGCCTTTTACTTAGTTCTTGAAATCATTTTTCTCTTTCATCAAAATTTAGCTTTGAATGTAGGTGACCCTTGACTACGTCCTCCAAGTTTGGGCAAGAATTTTTTTTTCCTCTCAGCAAGGAGTCACTGGCATGAGAAACGTTGACAAACTACTTAATGAAATAGAGGTGGAAAGAAAGATGGCTAAATGTGAAGTATTGGAAAGTCGAGCTCCAGGGAAGATGATCCTGGAAAAGCAGAGACCTATGGAAACAGTACCTGTCTCCAAAATCTGGAACGTCAATATGAGAAAGAAGGGTCAGACTGTTATAGGAAAATGAAGCGACCAGACAGCGAGGGATTCTGGAGTACGAGGTTTATTATTTAACGTGCACGGGCCCAGAGGAGTCAACCTCCAAATTCTGAGCCCCGAACAAAGGATTCTTGGGGAATATATAGATTAGGGGTCTTCCTGCGTATGTGACAAACATGGGGTACAGAAGCAGAATGTGATAATCGTTCTATCAGCGGGGGTGCTAGTTCCAGTCCTCACTATCCGGCCACCCGCCCTCTCAGACGGCCCCATCATTCTCTCTAGGGCGCCTGAGGCCTAGGCAAATAAAGGTTAAACAGAGGTTTTTCAAAGTTTCCCATATCAAGACTACCTAAGGGTCAAATCTCCAAGTTAACAGAACTAGGACTAAGTAGTGAACGTTAAAGGGAGGCAGCTTTAAAGTCTTCACAAGAATTGTATAAGGCTGCACAAATAATGGCATAGGCTGCCACAGGAATCTTGGGAGTTTTCCCAACCCAGAAAGTGAGCCATTGGGCAGAATCCGAGTATTGTAGAGTTGACTGAAGGGTCTGGTAAGTTTGTATGGGAATTCCTCTAAAGGCTACAAATACTTGATTCTATGTCGTCCTCATAAACACCATGCAGTAGCTATGAGCTTGCAAGAAGTCCCTCTGCTGTCCCTGTGTCCTAGGTCCCCCGCCTCATTGAAGCCTGCGCTCCAACTCCACTGCCAGGTCTGATCTAGATGACGATGTGGTTCCAAGAAGTCGCACAAATAAAATAACACAGACATAGGACTCTAGTCTAAAGGCTTGGTATGGCTACATGTCTCCCCTTGCCATGAATGAAGTATAATTTCACCCAAACCAACCCAGAGCTAGTTTTATATGGCCAGAAATTCGTGCTCTCACAAAAATGGTGAAGACATTTCTGATTTACTGTGGCATTTCTTAGACAACGCTAGAGAACAGTAGATAAAAGAGAATAAGTTCAGAAGGAATATCTTCATCCTTGTGTGCCCTACCTACTTCTTCCCTGCCCCACAGTGAAATTCTGGTAGAAAATGTGTTTGGTGAAGAGAGTAAAAAGAAAGTGACTCTACTATAATGCATCCAATGCCATAAATAAGACAAAGAAATGGCATGACAAAGACACAATATAAAACAAAACAAAGCATGCAGAAGGCTTCCTAGATTCCATTGTAGAAGAAAACATACCCTAAGGAACAAGGGCTTTCTTACAATTTCACTGAAGAGCAACTTAATATAATTACTACATATTTTAAAGCTAGAAATTTATCTAGAGAATATTATATCCATGAAACCCTTCACTCATTCCCTGCAACCTAATAAAGAACATGCTTCAAACAACCAAGCAATGGGAAAGACATAGTCTATATTGTATCACATCTAATAATACAAACAAGACTTAAAAAGGAATGTGGCAAAATGAAAGCGTAAAACCAAACACAACCCTGGCTGGGTCAGCCCAGTTACTAGGAGCACCCTACCAATGTACCAGGGTTGTGGGTTTCATCCAAGGTCAGGGCACGTACCAGAAGCAGCTGGTGGACGCATAAGTGGGTGGAGCCACAATCAGTGTTTCTTTCTCTCTCTCAAATCAATAAATAAAATTTTAAAAGGAACAAAAGGAGATCACATGATAACCTAGAGAAAAATATCCAATGCTAAACTCCCTAAATACCCCTGGCTCAGACCTGAGAAAATAAGAACCCTATATTCTCAAAGGCTCAGCTTCATTGTTTTGCCCATTTGGTTCCCTGAGCCACTGTATTAAAAGGTCCAGGCTTTCCTTCTGCAGAGAAAGGCCACGTGGAGAAAGAAGATGCAACACCACATGGAAGAGGCCGTGTGGAGCCAACAGTCAGCGTCTTCGTTCCATACACAAGAGGAGGAGCTTCTCAGAGCTTGCAGCTCAAATCAATCACTATACCACTGCGTGAGTGTCACCTCCAGATCACAACACTTGGAAGAGAGGCGAGCTATGCTCATTCAGCTTTGTGTGCATTCCTGACTCACAAAACTGCGAGCGGGGAAATGGTTGTTATAAGCTGCAGAATTCTGGAGTAGTGTGTTACACGGCTGTAGATAACAGCAACAGGACATGGATTATTTGCATCTTCCGTGTTTTTTCCTCCATCAGCCTTGTTATAGATTACCAGTTTATTTAGGTCGTGGTAAAAAAAAAAAACCAACTAACTTTGTGAACTGTCAACATTTTTTAAAATTTAACACTCATTTTATTTCCCCAAATAAGGGACGTTTTGGTAAATGTTCCGTGGGTACTAGAAAAGAACATGTGTTCTGCGGTTGTTGAGCGGTGCATTCTATGACATCAATGAGGTTAACGTGCATAATGGTTTCATTCAGATCTCCTATATCATTACTGATTTTTCATATAATGCTACTATTAATTACCGAGATAAGGGTGTTATCATTGCAAACTGTGTTTGTGGATTTGTCTCTTCCTTTACTTATGTTAGCTCTTCCTTTACGTAGTTTGAAGTTTGGTTACTGAGCGCATAAACATTCCCGGTTCTTATGTCTTCCTGATGCAATCATCGCTTTATCATTATGAAATATTCTTTCAACACTGTTCATCCTGAAGTGACATTCACCCGACATTGATATAGTCAGTGCAGCTTTCTTAGTTTACGGTTTGCATGGTATATCTTTTCCCATCTTTCTACTTTTAGTCTAACTCTGTTTTTATTTAATGTGCTTCCCTTGTCAATAGGAATTAATTGCTTTTATGTTTTTAATCGCCTCTCACCATCTCTACCTTTTCCTTGCTGTGTTGTATTAATCCATATTAACTGTAAAAATTGATAGTGTTGAAATTGCCTCTATCATTTTGATATTGTGTCCAATTTGTTCCACTATTTCGTGTTTCTCTGGTCTTCATGCCATTTTGGGAGTTCATCAAATGTTTTAGTATTCCATTTGAACTCTTCTGTTGGCTTTTAGCTATATCTTTTTGCATCATGGTTTAGCAGTGTTTCTAGGAGTTATGACATGCATTCTTAAATTATCAACCACTTAAAGTTATAACGAGGATACTTTGCATGAAATAAAGGGGCCTGGCCACAGATAGTTCCATTTACCACCAACCCCAAGTCCTTCGATGCTTTATTGTCTTATATGTTACATTTACATTCATTATTATTTTGCTGTATACACTCATATGTATTTTGAAGAAATTAAGAGAAGGAAAATATATGTTGCCTTTTATATTGTCCTGTGCTTTGCCATTTCCAGTGCTTTCCTTCCTTTCAGTAGTCTATCTTCTAAAAACAGCTGCCAGAAATCCTTCCTGTTCCTGTATGTGGACATCACTTCTCCCATTAAAAGGGAGAATCTGTTCCTCCCACCCCTGCACCTTGAATCTGGGCAGGTCCTTTGACTTGCTTTGATGAAAAACCATGGCAACAGCGATGCCAGACCAGTTCTGGATGTAGGCCTTAAGAAGCCTCGTATTTTCTTCTTTTATTCTCTAGGAATTCAGCCAGCAAGCAAATAAGTTTGGGCTGGGTTACTGAATAATGAAAAACATTTGGAGAGAGAGAGAGAGAGAGAGGCCTATCCCAGTCATTTCAGCCGCCGTATCTGAGTCACCAGACGCGTGAATGAAATTGCAGCCCCAGCCAGTCCTGCCGGCTGAATGGAGCAGCCACAAGCGTGACCGTGGCCAACAACCCTCAGATCTGAAGAATCACCCGAGTAAGTCCAGCCAAGGCATTGAATAGGGAGAAATAATAAGAAATTATCATTTTAAACCACTGCATTTATTACACAGTAAAGAATAACTGAACCCCTGGGTCTCAGTTTTCATCTGGCAAGCAGTCTTTCATCCGGAGGAATTTTTCGTAACATTGTTTATAATGCAGACCTGTTGGTGTTGCATAATCTCAGTTGGTATTGATCTGAAGGATATGTTGTCCGCTAAAAAGTGATAGAGCCAGAAACATTTGCCTAAATCAGCAATGGGCTCTGGTCTATTACTTAACTGTGGCCATGTTTTCCTACATGCATTCACATTGTTTTATCATCCATTTAAATGTCATTCCTAGTTTCTTTGTGTTTGTCAAGAATAGTAAATGTGTGTGGGAGAATTGTGAGAAATAAAAGCATTTTAAAGACTAGG